CGCACAGGGGTCTTCCCAATGCAGGACAAAGCGGCTAAGCGAGTAGCTGCATCCTGAGAAGGAGCAGCAACGACACACATACTGTAATTGGTGGGGTTAAATGTAACAGAGGCATCTACTGAATCAATAAGGTGTTTATGGAGGGAGAAATCGTCAGTAGTAGTAGAATCCAGATGGAGGAGATCAACGTATTTAGCCCATGTAGCGGAACCAAACAAGGCATTGTAAGTATGAGAAGGGATCGTGCTAGTGCAGCCGTGGCGGGGACGACGTTGAGAACCCCGAGAGTGAGAAAGGGTAAAAGGCACAGTAGTCACAATGAGAGACGGAGCCGTGGCAGGGGACGAGGTGGTTGTTGGAAATTTCCAACACTAATACAATACAGTTGTATTATTATTAATTATTACTAAAATCTACTAATTACTGTAGTAACTAAAATTAACCAACAGTAGGGTTCACATGAACTAATAATTGTATCTGTACAATAATGCTAGAATTCTTACGTAACCAAACACCAGTATTGCGTCAGATTCTACCAAAATAAACACATTTATATCCAGTGTGTTAGAGAATTGAGTTTGATTCTCTAAAAACAACAGTATTCTGTGTGATAATTATTTACCGATAACATGACTCCCAAATAATGCCAAATCGAGAGTTTTTAGTTACAACTGTTATCTGATAATAAATTTAACGTCACGCGTGAATGCCATGGAGAGAATTAAAATCATCTCCATTTCTCATTTACCATCGTAAAACGAGAAAGTAATAATATTTAACTCCCTAGAATTATAACCCAGTCTTTATCAAAGCATTTTAGCCACAACTGCGAGAAATAATATTATTCGTGGTGAATAATTTGTATGGCGAATGCAGGACGGGGGGCAGGGAGAGACGCCATTAGAGATCGTGTGGAGACGCCAGCGCGAGAGGAAGGCGCCTGTGTGCGGCGTGAAGACTTGTTGTGGAATTGAGCAACTCGTTTGGTGTCAGAGTCTAGGATACGTTGTGGTGAATCGTCAGCAAGATTTAACCTGACATTCAGCCCAGAACTTGTCAATTTGTTCTACGTAATCCATCATGACCGGCCAGATAAGCGCGTCGACATCCAAGCCAAACTAGCCACCACGTGTTCCCCATTGTGATGCTAGAGCCTGGGACGCGAGTTTCGGCAAGCTTCAACTTATACAGTGCCCTATTAGCTAAGTACACATATAACTCCCTTTTGATGCATCATTAGAGATTGTATATAGCAGGGTAGCTTGTCGTCACGTCGAGCGACATAAATAAAACACACGTTAGTAAATTTCTATTACTTTCACTCCCATTTTCTTGAATATAATATTTAGTAGCCTAATACATTGCTACGTAATGTATCTTAATTTACAGCCTGCGTGTGAGGAATTCCACGAGCTGTTACTTTACCCGTGTTATTCATCTCCCAGTGTTCTACGAGGAATTCCGGAGATCCCGAGGATGATTCATAACTGATGTCTTTGAAAACGTCTTCAAGCTAAGACTTTTTCGTATTTCTTTGATTATTCAAATTATCTGCATTTAATTGTCATTATTAAGTACTGTGCACTAGAAGTAACACGTGTTTATTATAATTATTAATTTCTGATATTTATGATCTATATTCTTATTGGTGACAAATTTACTATTGATTCTCTAATTGGTCATAAGATTAAGTTATTACACAATGAACTGGTGTACGAACCACACTAGTTCCTAGACATATATGAAGTTCTAGCAATAACCCCCAATGTAGGTGTTTGAGGCTTTGATTCAAGTAAATTATTATACAGCCCATTAATTATTCAAGTGATTATAATTTCTAGTATTTATCCATAGTCACTGGTTCCTCTAGGAATTTCTAATGATTACATTTTATAATTTGTGGTCACCACTGGGGGCTGGGAACTATACCCTTCTGCAGAGGAGGGAGGGGAGCTGAGGGGAGTAGTCAGGAGGGTCACAGGAGGAGCAAAGTCGGGACCCAATGTAGCGGGGGCTACAGGGCCTGGTCTTCCAACACAGTCCGACTCGGGGGCTTGGTCGCCCACCCCATAAGCCTGAAAAGGTACAAGGGAAACATTATCTGCCATAGAAACAAGGAAAAACTTTCATTCACGAATGTGCCCCCACACCCACCATGGAGCCACAATTAGAGGCAGGACACCCAACAAGAAGCTATCGCCGATCATGCCGTGGCCCCCTAGTGGTGCGTCGTGAGTATACGCCCCACAAACGCCACCTTAAGAACCGTCAGTCTGTCGAGGTCGGGTTCAGTAACGAAAGGGGGATTAACAATAAAAGGGTCCCGTCGTTCGAGACGTGGGGTACTATAGGTGCAAGAGTATGCCTCCCCAAGCACCCGGGCATCAAAATAGAAAAAGTCCAAAAGAATAACCAAAACAAGCAAAAGGTCAGCAGGAAACGACAAGCAGATAGGAGAAGAGGGGGGGGGGGGGGGTGAAAAACGAAACATAAGGAAAAGTGATCCGGCACAATTTGAGAGTACAGCAGCAGGAGCATAAGGCAACAAAAGTACAGAGGACTGACCGATGGAGCATCACACTCCGGCAGCCTACCACCAACCCCCCCCTCACGGCGCCAACGGGCCGGATGGGGAGGGAGCTGTGCTTGACAAGGTACGGGATCCATGCCAGAGCCGCATACTCCAGGATTGGCCTTACATATGTAGTATACATGGTTCAGAAAGATTCCTTACACAACTTTCTGAAGGCAGTTCTGATGTTAGCCAGCCTCACATACGTCACAGATGTAATTCTGTTGATAGGGGCTTCAGGAGATAGGTTTGGAGTGATATCAACCCCTAGTTCTTTTTCGCTGTTCGTCTCGTGAAGGACCATCGCCCATCCAGTGTCTGGTCTCCTATTTCCTCCCCCTAGTTTCATTTACTCGTGCGCGACTGGGGCTGCTGCCGGGTGCGCGACTGGGGCTGCTGCCTGGTGCGCGACTGGGGCTGCTGCCGGGTGCGCGACTGGGGCTGCTGCCGGGTGCGCGACTGGGGCTGCTGCTGCTGCCTGGGTGCGCGACTGGGGCTGCTGCCGGGTGCGCGACTGGGGCTGCTGCCGGGTGCGCGACTGGGGCTGCTGCCGGGTGCGCGACTGGGGCTGCTGCCTGGTGCGCGACTGGGGCTGCTGCCCGGTGCGCGACTGGGGCTGCTGCCTGGTGCGCGACTGGGGCTGCTGCCTGGTGCGCGACTGGGGCTGCTGCCTGGTGCGCGACTGGGGCTGCTGCCTGGTGCGCGACTGGGGCTGCTGCCCGGTGCGCGACTGGGGCTGCTGCCCGGTGCGCGACTGGGGCTGCTGCCCGGTGCGCGACTGGGGGTGCGCGACTGGGGCTGCTGCCCGGTGCGCGACTGGGGCTGCTGCCCGGTGTGCGACTGGGGCTGCTGCCCGGTGTGCGACTGGGGCTGCTGCCCGGTGTGCGACTGGGGCTGCTGCCCGGTGTGCGACTGGGGCTGCTGCCCGGTGTGCGACTGGGGCTGCTGCCCGGTGTGCGACTGGGGCTGCTGCCTGGTGTGCGACTGGGGCTGCTGCCTGGTGTGCGACTGGGGCTGCTGCCTGGTGTGCAAGTGGTGCTCCTGGCTGTTGCATCTGCATTTTTTACTGACATTGATTGGAAACCATTTTGGTATCTCTCAAATGTCATTAGTATCTCGTAGAACCCCTGGAATATGTTGAGTTTATTAGCGGTGTGGAATTCCTGGAACATCTTAAAAGCTGCTGAATAAGTTCTAGTGTAGTTGTTACGCCTTATTTAATCCTGTTTAAAATTGCCAAGTCATTTATTGAAACTTTATGTATGGATTTAAAATTTATACAAATGTTTAACTATCTTTCACATGTGATTCCTTATAAACAATTTATTTCTAATAAACAAGAATGGACGGTGAACAAGACCTGTAGTCCCTCGTGCTGTGTCAGAAGCTGCCTCACCAACACTGGCAATGGACGGTGGACAAGACCTGGAGTCCCTCACACCTGAAACAACAGTACGCCTTTTTAAAGTATGTCTTAACAATGTGCAAGTATAAACACTTTGCTCATAGCTGCTGCACTATGTACACCCAAGCTCTTGTGACCAATAGACATTTTCACACGACAAAGAAACAATTGCACACCACAACTTCTGTCGTAAACTGCCTGGTATCTGTAGTGTTGTGTGTTGCTGAGGAAGTCTTGGTTGTAGGGTTGATATAAAGCCATTGCTTGGTTACTGACTTTAATATTTATAAAAGATACATGACTAGCAGCTTCCAAGCTTGGCGGGCGTCCTGTACGCTCTCTTTTTCTACTGCTGGCGTACAGAACGCAGCGCATACAAACGGATAGTGCCGTTTGCTATGAACATGACATCCCTCCTTTTCTTTAAAAAGAATGAATACAGGATGTCTACCATGCTTGTAGCACAAAGCAAAGTTAATAACTTACTTTGTGTTAATAACATATCAAAATATGTTGCATACATTTCACATTAATTAAGCACACAAAAAATTTAATCAACTTAATCTCTACCACACAGGATATCAAAGTTAAAAATACAAACGCAATGTTAAACAAAAATGAAAGAAACTGTACTACAAACTTACAAAATATTGAATGAGAGATCTGCATTATTCAAACAATATTAAATTTAGTTTAGCATAATAAGTAAATACTTTGCATTACGTAAGAACACAATCATCAAATTGCTTAGGGCGTTTAACATGACATTTAGGACGAGAGTCCTTAAATTAAGAATATCCCTTGATGAATTGTTTGTCCGGTTATAACTATTTTTTCTTTATCGTTTGTACGACTTTGCGCTTCTTCATTTTCTACACTAGTTGGAATCACTGAAATAAGCCATATTACGTGTTATACTATGATCTCTATTACCTGTTACCATAGTTCCTTTTACACTAATCACTTTATATGGTTTTGTATCATACGGCACATCTAACTTTCCCTTTTTTCTTTTTAACTAGAACAGTGTCTCCAACCTTTATGAATTGTTCCTTTGCACGTTGATCATGAGCAATTTTCATTTTGCCCTTGGCTAGTGTATCCTTCTGAGCGAGACGTTTATCCGTTACCTCGGCTGGCATGACAGGTTGTGTGATTCTCATAGGACGTCCAAATAAGAGTTCACCAGGCGACTTCCCCAGTGTTCCATGTGGTGTTGCACGGTAGTTCCTGAGAAAAGCATACATAGCTTGCTTCCAGGATCGTCCTTCGGCATGAGCACAGCATACCGCTTTCATGAGAGGTTGCATGAATCTCTCTCTACTTCTCCATTTGCTTGAGGATGTAGTGGCATCACACGGCGGTGTTTGAATCCAATATGCTCAGCAAAGTTGGCGAAGTCTTGTCCATTGAATGGCGGTCCATTGTCCGTCTTGACAACTTCAGGAATGCCAAAATTTGAAAAGATCTTGTCGAGTTTCGGGATGACAGCCTTTGCAGATGTGGAAGTGATGATTTCTACTTCTGGATAACGTGAGTGATCATCAATGACTACCATCAAGTACTCTCCAGTTGGTAGCGGTCCGCAGAAGTCCATCGATACTTCCGTCCATGGTGCAGCAGGTAGTGGTGAAGGTTGTAGAGGTGTTGGTCTTGAAGTATCCAATGCAGCTTGGCAAGGGACACAGGCATCATGCATGTCCTTTGCTTGACGATCAATGCCAGGAAACCACACCTTTTCTTGTAGCAGCTGTTTGGTCCTAACAAGACCTAGGTGTCCTTGATGTGCAAGCTTTAGAGCACGCTGCTGGAATGACGATACGAGTACCTCGCAGCACAGTGTCGCGTTGTTGCGTAACACTTAATTCTGTCTGGATGCGTTCAAGTGCTTTGAATGCATCTTGGTCAACTCCTGAGGGTGGGATGCGTGGAAACTTTTTTTTTGTCAATGCATCCACTGTTGCTTGCAGAGTTGGGTCCTCTGGGGTTGCAGTACGGATTTCATCAAGAGTGAGAGCCTTAGGGACTGCATCACAGGTTACAGAGTGTACATATTCCTCGGCAACTTTAATCACATCTGGGTTGATGTGCAGATGAACTTTGCTATCAGTAGAACAATCTATGGGTTCAAATCGATCAGAAAATTCAGCAACAATAGCATCAACATTGTTTGCAGATTCCACTGCTACAGCATTAGAAAGCTGAAGTAATCCCAATTTGGTTGAAGTCTTGTAACTGAGTAGAGACTTTTTCATTCCTAAGAACATGGAATGTAGTAATGAGCATTGCACTCTGACTTAATCTCTGCAGTGAAAGTTCTAATCACTGGCAAGGCTACCTTTTCAAGAATAGGCAGTGGCTTTGCCATTATAGTTCTCAAGCTTTGGGAACTGTTTTGGGGAACATCCTTGGGAACATCCTAGGCAGTATGATCTTTGCTTATTTAGAAAACATAGTAAACCCAGGGTCATTTAGATCTGTAATTAAAGAAATGTACAAGATGAATAGTCTCCCATTGATGGAATTCCCAGACACTGCCGACTCCACTATCATCATAAAAGCCCTGGTGGACAGCAATGTAGCCAGCACTACCCCAACTGTGACTAACTCCCAACAAGTGCCAGCACCCACGACCCCAGCAACCACCAACAAGCCAGAGGAAGATAATACAACACCAGCAACTACCATTCAGGACCCCCGGAGAGGGCCCACACATAAACAACAAAACATACAAGTACCACAGGACCAGGGACTCGCAACGGCTCTCACTGATTCCCGCACACCCACACAAAATGTCACCCAAGCCTCAGTAGAGGCCCCAAACACAATCAATTTCTTCTCAAGAAAAGCAACTCACCGGGTTACCCACAAGACCCTCCGAGAGTAAATACAAACTCAGCACATAAAATTCCAACACAACATTCCCGGTGTCACTACGAATGACGTGTACGACCAGATAAGGTCATATACTTTTAACCCAAAACGAAACCCCATAACCATTCAGCAGATAAGCAGCGAGGACTTTGACGCAATGCGCAATGGTTATGGAACGATCCCAAACAATCCACATGGTGGAAGAGACCCATCAGATTCAACATAGCCATCCAGTCATTAACAATAATTCAACACAATGTTCTATGCTGGACTCCGCACAGAGCATTGGAACTCAGCAACTTGTAAAGAGAAATAGACCCTGATATAATACTCATTAATAGCCATGGAAAAAAGAATAGCGAGAAGATCAAGATCTTCAATTACAAAATTTACCAGGTCAACAGAGCTGACCAGGCCAACGATGGAGCGGCAATTGCCATGAAAAGAAATATTCCACACAAAATTTTAGATAACTTCCAGGAAAACTTCCTGGCAATTGAACTCCAAACTACGAAAGGATCTACCATCTTCATAGGAACATACTACCAACCACCAAGACGTCCTTACCTTCCCCTTGCCGACATCATGAAACTTACCAGAAGGAACAGACCTGCCTACTTTCTGGGTGGTCTGAACGCCAAGCACAGAACACTGGGACATGGAAGGAACAACCAAGCAGGAGAAGCCATCCACAATATGATAAGGTACGGAAATCTAACCCACCTGGGTCCAGACTTCCCAACTTACGTCAGACAAGGCCACAGTGGTAAACCAGACATAATACTGTCAAACAACCACCACTTCCTAAACACCCGCATAGAAAGGGGCCCTGTGAGCACAAGCGACCACCTACCATTAATAATGACGCTGTCAACTAACCCCATTCAGAAACCCTCACCACCAAGACTTCAATACACTAAAACTGACTGGGAAGCGTTCAAAAGCAGTGCACAGGAAATCAGTGTCACAGATTTTAATGGAAAAGAAACATCATGCATAAACGCCGAGTTAAATACATAGATTAGCACCATAGAAAAATGCATGATTGATCACATTCCCGTAGCTCACCATATAACGCTCCCACCCCCCAGCCACTTAGGCGCTCAGGACACTGCAAACCAGATATAACAATCTTCAGCAACTCATCACACAACACGGGTAGACGGATGAGCGCAAAAGACTGCAAAGGGAACTTCAAGATGAGCTGCAAGATCTATGCAAAACAGAGTACACCAAACAATGGGATGACCTAATAAGCAAAATCCAAGTCAACTACAGAATGCCAGGAAAGTTCTGGAAAAAAGTTAAGACCCTGATGGGAAGTTCTTCTGAGGAAACACCCTACATCATAGACGCCTCAGGAAATAAACTATGAGGAGAGAGAACAAGAGCAGGAATTCAGGAAGTTCTGGGAAAAAAATTTCAGGATAAACCCGGAAGAAAATTTAAATTTTTGCCCAATTAATGAAAGGGAAATTACAACTCAAGTCGATAACAGAGCTGCAGCACTGAAAAACTCATATACTCTGATTCGCCGCTCTGCTACCGGAGGGCGCTGACGTTCGGCCCGGGCTGACAGTGTTGACCTGTAGCTGCTGCGTGGTGGTCGTTTTGTTAACGGTGTGGTGCGGCCATTGGCCGGGGCCTGGAGGGTGTTTTGGCAACGGCTATCAGTGGCCGTGTTCGCCGGGTCGACACCGCCCGGCTTGATTTCTCGGCGCCTTTTGTGGCCGTGTTCGCCGGGTCGACACCGTACTTCCGGATTCTGCTGACGGTGATTTCTCTTGTAAGTGTCCATGGTGCGCCGGGCGCCTGAGGATGAGCTTTGATTCCGTCGGTATGGTGACATGGCCCTCCGTATGGGTGTGCGTACTTTTGTGGAGGTTGCCCTGA